ACCGGCTGGTGGAGCAACCTGAGCGCCAGGCTGTAGTACTTGCTCAGCTTCGTCTCCTTGGGGAAGGCGATCCCTGCAACTCCATCCACAGTAGCCCCTTGCAGCTCGCAGTGAGATGATCGAACTACACCTTTCTTGGCATTTCGTGGTACTTGCCAGTGCAGGTACTCCGACCTTAATGCCAAGACACCTGGAGGAGTAGTGCCCTCCAGCTCCACCATGCCCGTGGCCTTGACCTTCTCTAAGAGGTCATAGTTGTCTAAATACACCCGCCATGCCTCTGAAGTCACGGTGAAAGGCCTATCCTTTCGAAGCTCGCACTCCTCATGATGAACACGTTCGCCATCCAAGCGAGACCACTTGACCAGGTTGCGGCGCACGTTTTGTGCTAGGCTTACAGAGTTAAGAAACCCCATGGGCAATACCCGCGACGCCAAGTAGACTGTACCACCCTTCATGTGCTCAGGCAAGCACACGTCTGGCACTCTCTTGTTAAACGCCAAGTACTTCACCCATTCCTGTGGCACCTTCATAGTGTAGAAAAAACACTTCACATCTTCAGAAGAAATCAAGAGGTTCTCGTTGGGCTGCAAGAAATATGGGTTCATCATGCCCCAAGAGGGGAGGGTGTCAACATCTCCGGAAAGGGGTTCGGATATGGAATTCAAAGGGACCAAATTCATGATCAGGCGACAGATCTCCGTCCCGTCATCAGTCCACTCCTCCTTGCTCACTCCAAAAAGTCCGTTAAGCAAGGGTCCATCCCCCGCGTCAAACACGGCCTCCTCCTCGATGTAGCAGCACACCCCCGCCTCAACGAGTCCGGTGCACAGCTGTGCCCATGCATGGTCCTCCACCATTACCTTGGGTCTGGTCACCTTTCCCCACTGCTCCCGGGGCTTAAGGAAGCCATCAAAGGAGCACACATACTCCCGACAACCGAGCGTGCAAACCTCCTCCAGTGGCACAAGCCCAATTTCCTTTGGGAGAGCAGGTGCAATGTTAGGCCATGCGACCTTCCGTGCAACCCGAACCTCATCCCCCTTGTAGTCAATACCTCTCACCATAAAGAATTGTTCCCAATCAACCCCAACCAGCCTAAGATCCAGTTGGCAAAAGCGTGAAACGTCCTCTCGAATCGAATTCAAAGCCCTAATCTGAAGTGTCGTCGGTTGTCGGTCGTCAGTGCCGAACACCCCCCAATAGGAGTTCAGAGACAGGCCAACACAAATCACCCACTGCTTCACCTCTTCTGGGACATTAGGCCAAAGGTGCGATAAAACAGAGTAGGAGGTAGGTAAGGGCAGCAAGGCGCACGCTGCATCCTTACCCGGGGTCTTGCTGCGAAGTGGTAAAACCTCCAACAGTTTCTGCACCAAAAAAGCCCCCGACCCAGAGATAGAAGAAACTGAAAGCCCCAAGCCGCTCGCACTTTTTTCCGCAGTCAGATCGACCGGTTCGGTGTCTCCACTCCTATCGCCACATCCATGAAAAGAGGGTGGCCGCGGTGGAAAGACTGAAGAATCCGCGACGGCTGACATAGCCGCCTCATCGGCCGAGACCCGAGGGCCATTGGCCGGCTCCATGCAAAAGAAGTTGCCACGCCGCTCCTGCACCAACTCTTCGCCATCAAGGCGGTTCTCAATGCAGCTCGGCCTAAGGCCTGTACCCTGTAGTTCATAGTCAGGCTCCCGGTCCCAGGAGCTCACCCCTGCTTGTGGTCGTCCTCCTTCTTCTTGCCCTTTTCGAACTTGCCCGAACCTTTGCCTTTGCCTCGATCTCGATCTCGCCTGGCGAAGTCCTGGTTGGGCGCTTCTTTGCCCTTTGCCATGCCCTTGCTCCGACTCCGCCCATCGGGCAGCGATGCCAAATGCCTCGTCTTGGCGTCCTCCGCCGCTGCCCTTTGTGCACTCATCAGTTCCTCTCGGGGTGCAATGGTCTGTAGATCCAAAGGCGGCAATTCCAACCTTTGGGACACACTCCAATGGCTTCCAGCCATCGTCGCCTCGATGGACTTCACCCTTTGAAGGATGCAGTCCACTGCCTGAGCTGCTCGTCCACGAAGTAGATAGTCCACCGAGCTGCAAAGCGTGGGCAGCTCGCGGGCGACCGGGCCCGTCGACTTCCTCTGCAGCTCCTGACGGAAGTATTGCGCCGCCGTGGGTGTGACCAACTGTGAATGCTCCTCGAACCCCGCCGTCTGAAGCAGGACCCGTCTCATGTCTGCCAGGGACCTCGCCCCGAGAGCCCCAGGGCAACTGTCTGCGACCCTTTGGATCTTCGTAGCCCCTTCGAAGAAGCCCTCCTCCTGAGCAAAGTCGATCTCCTGGTCGTGGTTGGATGTGGAGCTCCGGCTGCTGCTTTCTCGCCTGTCCTGTTTCTTTCGCCGCACCAACCGCTTGGCACGTCTGGCCACTCGGCGTCTGGTTTTTCTTTGACATCCAGCCCTGTGCCCGCGAATAGCGCCTGCAGGCTCTTCGAAGAGGCCGCACGCGGCATAGTCCCATCGGTTTGAATCACTGGGCTGGAGCTCGAAGAACCCACTTTGGCGACCTTGTCCTCCTTGCTCCCCTTCGCATGCTCTTTTTTGCTTCTCTTCATGGATGGTGACCTGGACCTCTCCTTCATCTTCTTCCTGCCGCCGGGACTTGCGTCCCTCTCCTTCTCCTTTTTCTTCCGCTTCTTGCTGCGCTCCCGTCGCCGGGAACGACTTTTGTCCTTCTCCTTGGCCTCTTTGAGCTCGTCCCTCTTCTCGCGTAGGTCCTTGAGGTCGTCGCCAGCTGGCCTCTCGACCGCAACCAGATTCCGGCACCAATGCTCTTCCTCCTCGTGACCTCTGGACTGCCTCACCTTCTTGATGTGGATGAGGTCCTCTGCAACGCGATCCCCGGAACACGTAGGGCCGCACAAGTGACCGCGAAGATGTTCTCCTGGAGCTCCTGTGCAATGCTTGAGCAACGACTCCAGATCGGTGCCTGTCGCCTGAAGGAGGACGTGCGTCGCCTCCCTCTCGACCTCGAGACCTCGGATGGTCCCTGCCACGCGACATGCAGCCCCGAAGTATGACCCTTCGTCGATGACCAGCTCCACGCCCTTGGCAAGTTCGGCCACGGGCACGTCCGCGCCCTGAACTGTCAGGCCTCGACCCCAAAGCTCCCGAGGAACAGGAGCTGAATCGTCTCGATGAAGGCCGGCAGGACGTCGCAGAACTCCTCCATGAGCTGGCCTTATCCGCATAGCTAGACGCGCCTTGGGCTTGGCTCGTGCCTTGACCTTGGCTGCTGCTTTCCCTTTTGCCTTTGGGGGCATTGTGACTACCGCCGACTGTAGGGCCAATAACGGCCCCGTTCCCGATGCTTGACTCCTTTTGTGCCTCTCTTCTTGTATGGCCTCCTCTCAATGGACTTTGACCTCTCTCTATGATGATATCGGTCTCGTCGATCGAAATCTCGCCCACGCCTGGGTGATCTGGACTCCTCGGCCGCCTAGGGGCCGGTGGAGGTGTTGGCAATTCGTGATGCCTGGAGTGCGGTGTCCCTGACCCTTTTGGGGCCGGCTTCAACTCAAACTTCTTTGGGTTCTCGTGCACCTGCAAGTCCTTCTCCTCCTGCGTGGTGGTCAGGTCCTCAACTGGTGCTGCAGTGCTCCCAGCACCGGCTTGCTCCTCGTCCTCGGTCTGGTGTCTCTTCTTCTTGCGCTTCTCCTTCTTGGTGGAAGGGCCGCTCTTGTGCTTCCTCTTCCTTTTCTTCTTTTTGACCTCTGTCTCTCCTCCACGAGCCTCCTTCTCCGACAAGGGGATGGCCTGTACTGTCTCAACTGGCTCCTTCTCCTCGGTGTGCTCTTCCTTCGTGCGCTCACTGAAGTTACCCGGCGGTGCTTCCAGCACCGGCTCTGTCGATGGAGCAGGAGCTGCTTCCGCTGCTCCCGACCCAGGACTGGCCTCTCCCTCAAAGCCCGGGGGGTTGGACTCTGCCTTTTCCTTTTTCGATTGCCAGCTCGCTCAAGTCCTCGATGGCGCCGCAAGCCGAACGCAGGATCTGTATGATCGCCTCCTCTTGCGACCTCAGAAAAGCACCAGTCCTGAAAAGGTTTTGTATTCGGCACAAAGTCCGGCACGAAGGGCACGTAGTGGGTCTGGATGCCCAGAAGTGGCAACCAGTGCAATGCATGCACCGACAGGATCAGCTGAGAACCGAAACGCTACGAACAAAACAAACACGTGCATCTTAACCACCGGGGGCGTTAGTACATATATGGCACCCCCTTCTTCCCAACCAAGTGCAAAATATCTTGAGATGGTAGACTTTGGGGGGGTACTCTATATGTATATATAAATATATGTATATATATATTATATATATAAGCAGTTGAAACACGGCGGGGTTTCCACCTTTGGGTTGCCTTGCCAGCCACATGGTCACATCAAAATCGGACAGCGGGTTGTCGCTCAATTCAAGAGTGGACCGATACATCCCGAAACTGTTTGAGAAGAGAACTCCGTTCATAAGTGTCATTTAGTATCTGATAAAGCCACAATACAGTGGAGGATGCTCAGTGTCATCTTGCAATCCGAATGGTTCACAGCAAAGCAGGCCTGTGGGACACATACAAAACGTACTGTGATGTATGATGCATGGGAGGGAGAAGTTTCTCTTGCATCACACAGCAAGCCTCTAACCAAAAAAAAGGAATTGCTGGTACACCAGAAGGGGGGTTTGGCCAAACGAAGCGCAGTGGATACAGAGTTTCACACTCTCCCATCCGCTTCTGTGACGGAAGAAGCACCAAATCACAATCAAAGAGCTTCACAGTGTTCAGAATTTCAGGCATCTCGTTTCCCTTCGGACGCTATTTATTGAGTTAATTGATTGCCATTTACCTACGTACGAGCATTGGTTTCAGTAAGATCTTTGGGCCTTGTTTGGGGAAGGCAGGGAAGTCACAAGGAGAAACCTGTCACTCAACCCACTTTCCACATCATGCGGACATGAGTCTCAAGCCTGTACTGCCGCCAAGGGCTTCTTCCACTGTATACTGCTCCAGCTCGGCGCCGTGGTCTGTGCGAAACCAGGACATGTACACCTCGCTTCACAGCCTGCAAGCCTTCCTAGGGGCTGAACTTCCCAAAGAGTCGGTGCTCACGATCTGGTTCCAAATACTATCTAAATATGCATTTTGTTTCAAGGGTCATGTCCAATGTCTTCCCTACGTTCCTATAGGTACACATCAAAGGCTCCAACACAAGAATGAACCATCATTCCATCATCCAGTCAGGCCCACTTCTGCAATAAAACACACCTCCGGTCATGTCACCCGTTCAGCCGAACCTCACAGACTTCTGCACCGGAGGAAGATGTCCGCCGCAAAGGTCGGCCCTCCCGAAAGAGCTGCCTCGGCAACAAACTTCTTGGAATCGATGGGTGTCAGAGCTACGCTGGCGCTGGCACCCAAAGTTAATTGTTTTTCATGAATTTATAGGGGGGCCATATCAACCAACTTTGGGATCTTTGGGGGATTGCGCCATCTACCATTGGAATCGAGCACTTGAACCAGAATTCTTGGGGAGCGGAAACTGAGGAAATTTTTGAACACCGACACAAGATCGCTTGCTGCACAAATCGTCACGTGCTCAAGCTTTCTGAGAGCAGCCTGCAAATGAAAGCCCTTGAATCCTCGCTTCAAGAGAGCCTGGGGGCACGTGTCCGATTTAGACACCCAAAAAGAAAAAGGTTCCCATAGAAATGGTTCAAAACCAAGGCGAAAGCAAGGGGAGCGAACCTAATTGAACCGGCGTTGGCCGAAAGTCAGTGGTCTTTCCGAAGTTATGTAAACTTCAGATTCAACAACAGGAGTGAAACAGCCACTGATCCCTAGAATGAAGTAGCAATGATTTGCCTACATGGTTTTCACTATCTGGTCTTACCACATTGGAACACGACACTTCTGTGAATCGTTGTAAGAATCTTCATACAATTGATTGATTCAATTACGTTTGTTTTTGGTCAATTGTCCGGCCCGTAACCGTTTTAAAGCTTGGCAGTTTGGCATCAGCCACCGATGGTCAGCTGGTCCACTGCCCTCTGAGATTCCCAAGCAATAGTTGAGAGCTCTCGAGGCCTCGCACGACTGCATGACACAAGATGGAACCCAAGAACCCAGATGCAAACACGCGCTCGAAAACAAACGGCCAAACATTGTGTGACACTCTTGTAAGACACTCTTGAATACGGTGCTCTTGTGGGACACTCTTGCGGCACACTCTTGTGGGACACTCTCGGACACTCTTCTGGGATGGTCTCGTGGGACACTCTTGCGGGACACTCTTGTACGAGACACTCTTGTGGGAGACACTCTTGTGGGACGCTCTTGTAAAAAACACTCTTGTGGGACATTCTTGTGCAAAACTTTGGTGGGACACTCTAGCGCGACATGCTTGTAAGAGACATTCTTGTAGAACACTCTTCTGGGACACTCTTGTGGGAGACGCTTGCCGGACACTCTTGTGGGACTCTTGTAAGACACTCTTATAGAAAACTCTTGTGGGGCACTCTCCGATAACACACTTTTGTGGAAAACTCTTGTGGGACAGTTTTGTGGGGCACTCTTGTGGGACTCCTTTGTGGCACGGTCTTGTGAGACACTCTTGCAAGACACTCTACTCTTATGTCTTATGGGACACTCTTGTAGGACACTCTTGTGGAAGATTCTTGTAGGGCACTCTTGTTGAAGACTCTTGTCGGACACTCGCTCTGCGACACTCTTGTGGTGTGCTACAGCTGCTACAGACTATACAACAAAGTGACACCAAGCCTCGTGGGCACCGCCAATCATCCCGCTCCCCAGCGACACGCCACCGAGGCCGGAGGCCGCGCCAAACCACATGGCACAGCGATCATTTGGCCACACGGTGCGCCACAGACTAAGTTGCCAGTTCTGAGGCCACTCCCCAGTTCTGAGGCCACAGCCCACAAGCAGCTTCCCGCACCCAGAAGCTGCTTCCTTTTGCACTACCAGTGGCCAGTTCTCAGGCCTCAGCTCCCAGAAGCTGCTTCCCATAATACATAATTACCAGTTCTTCTGAGGCCACAGCTCCCAAGAGCAACACTGTGTACAAGACTTCTGTGTGAAATGTGAAACTAGCGTTTCCTACGAGACTTCATCCAAAGTCACACGTCAAGACTTCTTCCAAAACTCACGCGTGAAGTCTGCAATACGAGCACTTCGCAAGAGACTTCCTCCAAAACTCACGCGTCAAGTCTCCTTTCCTCCAAACGTAACAGGTCAAGTCTCCAAAAATGAGGATCTAAAGCCCCTCGTCAAAGTCACCGTCAACTCTTCAAAACGAGCGTTTGGTACGAGCGTTTTGCGTGAGACCCAAGCAGCTTCGCAATCCCAGCCCCCACAAAGCCATTCCTGCTGACACAGCGACATTCACCTCCACCAAAGGTCGCAACCTCACGACTCCCTGCGCCTAAGCTTGGACACTGGACACCTCCAACACGGACAGGTACTCCTCCGACATGACAGCCTCATGTCTTCAGCAAAACCTTGCACCACACCATTGCACTGATTTCGACGCGTTCTCAGCACACTCCCATCCACAAAAGTCGCCGCTTTAGCTGAAACTTCTCAGGAAGACACTGTCACAGCTTCGAAGCAACAGCCTGAAGGGCAAATCCCAATGTCACAGCCACATCCAGCACCTCAAACATACCACCCTCTAGGCGCCAATCCCAGCGAAGGACACTGAGGCACCCGCGCAGTAAAGTCATCCTCCACACTTTAACATGATACGTTTCCACACGTTTCCTCGCTCTGACACGTCATGCTTCCATCTAAAAGCTTCGCCCAATGTCAGCGCCATAGCGACCTACTGAGGACGGTTGCGAACGGTACGACAACGAGTCGCGAACAAGTGTCTACCCCCAGACCCCCAGAGTTAAACGAGAACCCTTCGCTACGCATTCGGGAATAAAAAGCATCACAAAAAACAGAATGTAAAAGTATATGTTCTTGAAACCAAAAAACACAGAATCACCATCCGAACCCTTTGTTTCCATGCTCTCGAGGCTGCAAGCAAAATGGTAATCTCACGCCCAGCCCGTTCGCCTCTCTCTTGGAGGCGCTTGTCATTCAGCACATGCCAGTCATTGACTTGAACAAAGTCCTCCTTCCCCAGCTCAGAGTGGGTCAAAATCCCAACACATCACTCGATTCTCTCAGACATTCTCAGACTATCACGCATGTGCTGCCCTAGGCGTTAAAATTCCTACGAAATTGCAAGAGTCACCTCGAGTACAAAGGGGACACCTCGAAATGCGTTGTACTGGAGGAAATTCCTTAACTATCAATAACATTCAACAACTATCAGCCAAATCTCCCACATAGTTCAGTCTATACCAATACTTCACCAAATGTATATAGAAAAAGGCCAACCAAATGGACCGGAAGCACTTGCATCCCTTTTCATATTGCATCCACCTTGTCTCGTGTTTTGGATGTGTCGTTTCTCACCCCGGCCTGGCTCAGGGGGCAAAGCTTTGGCCCCTCCGAGCTCAACTCCCAACACGAGGACACCGGTGGCCTCTTCTCGATCGGCCTGGCATCGAGCGTTGAGCCAGACCGGTGGCTCCACCGACCTGCCTGCCTGCCGCGTCCCAAAACATCACGATGTGGCAGCGTTTCAGTTGCGTGTTCAAAGACCAACAAACACTGATCTTTCAGAGTGAAATCATCTGCAATCGCATTCAATCTACGATCCACGTGCGACGCTGCCAGGAAGAAAAGTTGGCCCGTCTTTTCCGTGTGCGAGACATGTGCTTGCTTGATGTTGTGTGACACCAGCCGTTCTACACAACCCACATAAACTTTGCCTTTTGGTCATTCTGCTGTCGCAAATAGCCTGCTTCGTTGGCTCTTTGCTTCAACATGACAGCTTCGCGTACTGGGAGGTAAACTTGGCGTCCTAGAAGGCGCCTGGATGGGCGAAGGTGATTCCACGCCAACAATGTGATCTTTTGGAGTCCGTATAAAGATCAACAGGCAAACCTTATGGGTTGGGCGCGGGGAAGTTCAAGGCATCTCGTGGGCCACGTCATGGTCAATGGTCTGACTTAGGGCTACTAGTAACAAAGAAGCTACTAGGAACAAAGGGCATCACTATTAGGAGCAAGGACGCTACTAGGGGCTCCTGGCCATACTACTAGGAGCAAGAAGCTCTACTAACTAGGAACAAAGGGCATCGCTGCGAGGGGCTCCTGGCTTTACTACTAGGAGCAAGAAGCTAGTAGGAACAAAGGGCATGGCTACTAGGAGCAAGGACGCTACTAGGCGCTCCTGGCCTTACTAGGAGCAAAGAAGCTACTAGGAACAAAGGGCATCGCTACTAGGAGCAAGGACGCTACTAGGGGCTCCTGGCCTTACTAGGAGCAAGAAGCTACTAGGAACAAAGGGCATCGCTACTAGGAGCAAAGCCGAGTATCAGCCGTGGCCCTTTTTCGCATGCAGGCGAGATCGAGGGCTGATTTGGTCGAACGTTCGACCGATTCCGTGCTTCACCAAAGCTGGAGTTAAACATGTCTGGATCAAAGAAACGTCGGGTGCAAAATAAAGGTAAATCCTCAGGATCCCAACAACACTGATGGAAGCCCCAAATTACAGTTAGCTCCTATGATACTGTCAGATGCTGCAGTGGAACCAAAGTCGCACCACCAAGGGCCCCGACTGGATAAAGATGTTGGAAGACTGAGTGAGCCAACCACCAAATGGGCCACCTAAGAATCGGATTGCACACACAAGCGAACCATCAAAACCTGTGGAACATCAGACAGTTTTCGAGTTTGATGGGGGGTTCCAGTCAACAGTAGCTGTTTGCTGAGAGTCTTGGAGGCTGCACCACCAGAATGCAAGTGTGGGCACCCACCCAAGCTTCAACTAAAGTCTGTCTAGCAGCCTAGCACGTTACTGAATTCCACTCGTCGAGGGACACTGGGTGCCCACCGGCCCCAGCCAATAGGGTGTCTCTGTGTGGCCCACTCGGTTCGGAGGAGCATCAAGAGTGCAAAGTCATCGGGTTCGGTGCTGGAGCACTGCTTGATGTGATCCTCTGCCTCGGCCAGGGGGCGGTTTTGCAGGGGCCTTCAGGGGCCAGGGGCCGCCAAACCAATGTTCATCATTAACAAGAGGAGTAAAAACACTCAATCCCTGTACTTGTGCAAAAAAAACACGCAACAAAAGTAGCACAAGCGTCGCTCCCTGACAGTGGGAGGGAATCTTTACGAATCGCTATATTCTAGGCACAACCTGGTCTGGTCCAAAGTCAGTGTCTACCGCAAGTTCCGAGAGTTCTTGCCCTGCTTGTTTCAGGCACCACTAAGATCCACTTAAGAAATGGCCCCAGCCACCGGCGCTCCGCTCTGCTCGACCGCTCCACCTGGCGGCCTGGGTGCCCTGGCAGAGTTCACCAACTCTTTGGCCTGAACGGCCGAAATCTGAAGGGCCGAAGCTGCATGGTTCACCAGAACGCTCCTAGGGGCTCCTGGCCTTACTACTAGGAGCAAGGACGCTCCTAGGGGCTCCTGGCCTTACTACTAGGAGCAAGAAGCTACTAGGGGCTCCTGGCCTTACTACTAGGAGCAAGGACGCTCCTAGGGGCTCCTGGCCTTACTACTAGGAGCAAGAAGCTACTAGGGGCTCCTGGCCTGCCCGACCTTTTTTCACAACAAAAAAATAACAGAAAGCGACGTCGTGACGACGTCTGGTTCGCGGTTCTGAACGTCGTGCGTGATCCTCTGACGCTGACGCGTCATGTGAGTGGTTGGGTAGGATAAGTATGTCAAGCGTCTGACAATACCATATTGAACCTGTGGCAGCTAGTAACCCCAGCCTTCCCTTTTCACACGAAGAACCATGAAATATCTTTGAGAAACAAAGCATATCGTATATGAAGTCTCTATATATATATCACATAAATATGTATATGTTTATATTTAGTTATAAGGTTGTATGCCTTATGTGTGCCACACTTCTTCGGTCCGCCACACCTCCCGCCTCGTCTCGGATGCCCGAGTCCTTCTCCTGAGAGAGCACCAAGGCTGAGGCCAAATAGCCCATCGCCTCGACGGCACGGACGCTGCTCCGTCGCATGACCCAAGGGCGCCCGAAAGAGTGTAGCACTGTAGCACGAAAAAGAGCCACATGGACGTGCAGAGCACCAAGTATATTGACTACACCACTTGAGAGTATTGAACCAACACTTGAACAACAAGTCTACAATACCTCTGCACCAGCATACAATGAGCTAAATGAAAGCTTGTAACGGTCACAATCTCTTTCTTTTGCCTGTCGGAGCTCCTTCCATCCATTGCATCTTTCATCATCTTTCATGTCAGGGCCCGACTTTTTTGCGCTGAATCCTATTCTGATGCTCTTCCTTGGTGGCAGCTGTGTGGAGTCCGAATAGTTCAACTGCTGGACCTGTGCAGACCAAGAGCACTTCAGCCGAAGTGCGACCCTTCAGACCTCCTTTTCATCTCTTCACCCCCATTCACCCCGCCTTGGCCGCGCTGCACCCCCCACGCGCGCTGGGCGCCCGCGGGTCGGCGCGCGCCAAGAAGTGGACGGAGTCCTCGAGACTGGAGACTCCGAGCTCGACCGGCGAATCCTCCGAGTGGGAGATGTTGAATGCTAGTGCTGCTAGTGGATTGAGAACAGTTGATGGACTCAGAGTTGTTGATTCTTGGGAATTCACTTGGTCGGACCGCTCAAACGATTCAAACGACGAAATGAACACCTGTGGAAGGCCAAAGAACAAAAAAATTGGGGTCCACACCACGAGCGGCGGCGTCTGGCCATGAACTAAATGTCCCTGGACCTGGGAAAGCTCGGCTATCATAGGCTGGGCTATCACGGTGGTGATTTGGGGTGACTCTGTCGCCGTGTTCAATCCATCCTAATTGCAAACTACCGTAAAGACCTTCTTTTATTTGGCCCGCTCCCCACCCCTGCCCTACTTAAATAAAGGAACTGAGGTCGCTAGTATGGCTAGTACGTACAAGTGGACGCTACTAACTGCTGGACGCAGGACACCGTCTCCCGCTTCCGCTGAAGAAGCACGAAGCACTGTGACGATGTTGTGTCTAGATTTTGAGGGAAACTTCAGCGATGGCCTCCAACCTAGTAATGCAAATCTTCACAAATCCTCTGCTCACTCTGATTCGCTCTTGTCCTTTCTGAGTCCTCTGATGTCCTCTGGTGTCCTCTGATGTCCTCAGTCCGAAATCAAAGAGAGGGAGACAAATCGCAGGACCATGAGTCGGGATGACCATGAGAGTCGCTGGGTCTCCTGGTTTCACCGGGTCTCGACGTCTCCAGCTCTGAGAGTCCCAGGCCCAGTTGCGAAATCGCACGTGGTCATCACTCAACAAGGGTTGCCACCGTCCTCAGCGAGACCGGTTTTTCGTGACAAAGGAAGATGACTTCGTTGTGTTAGACCTGCAATGGTGGTCCAGCATACTTTGAAGTGAATGTCCTGCAGAGAGGGCGCTCCAAGCTACGATGGAGTGTCTTTTTTCTGGAAAGCTACGTTGCCTGTCCTTTGCCAAGCAGGTGCTTCGTTTCAGTGAGTTCCCCAGCGCGTGGCATCTGGCACAATGTCCTGCAGGACTGAAGAGGCATCTGAGGCTTCTCCCCTCTAGGTATTTGAAGAAAAGAACATTGTTCTTGTGAAAAGGCCGTATGTTCACACCAGCCACAAGATTCACAAGCCGGCGCCAACGGTGCTCCTCCCATGGCTCTTCAGAGGATGGCGCCTCCTCAGCTTCAAGCTGCGCCTTGTGTCGACAGGTTCGAGTGACAACCCTACGAACCTGAATGACTAAAATCACCCTTAAAGATTTGAGTCGAGAAGAGCCTACTGCATGTGTATTGAACCCAAAAATCCATGGAAATCATTTGGATGGCTCGCCTCTGCTAGGTCAGAAAAGACTTGTGTATCACTGAAATGGATTCGAACTCATCTATCATCTGTTGTATGATCTGTTTGCTCCAAAAGCCCCTGCTGTTTTGTTGACCTCGAGAAGAACCCGTTCGCCCATCGGCCACAGTTCACCGCCCGTTCGATGCACCGGCCACGAGACCGCCCAGATGCACCGCCTGTGCCAGATGTAGCAGCCCAAAGATCGGCCAACGAGCGCGCGCGATCTGCGAGGGCGGGGTACCGGGCCGTGGGCCGGGCTCGTTGTCTTGGGGTCGTTTGGAGCTGCCTCCACCGGGGAACAATGGATCGCTGGTTCTTTTCTTGGTCCTGTAGTTGTCGGGGTTAGTTATATATATATATATACACGGTATAAAAGAAACAACTAATTCATGTGTATGTTCTTCGCTGTTCTGCTGTTTTCGTTTCTTATGTTATTTTTTCTTGACTGTCCGCTTGTCGCGCGGCTGACTTGTTAGGGGAATCACAAAAAATGTGGACGTGGCACCTTGAACGAACCCGAGTAAAAAGCAAGCTTGAGGAGTTATATAAGATTTACAGCTTTACCTGCTTTCCTGCTTGACGTTCACAGTGTTGGTGCAAGCCATGTTGTTCTCCGTTCTGGAATGTTCTTTTCAGCGCTGGAAACCCACCCAACCTGCTATGCAGGAAGCTGTTTTTAGTTTCTCCTTCCCACACTGCGCCCCCCCTATTCAGATCTATTCAGCAGATCGAAAGGCAGAGGCCCAGGGGACCTAATGCTTTGATGATACAGTTGACATCGATTTAGTATGTTTGATAGAAAACATATGAACACACACACATGTTTTTGGGGGGATACAGCTCCATTCTGTTGATAGATATCCCCAGTCCGGAAGGGTGAGGGTTGTGAGGATGGCTGTACACTGTAAGATCTTGAAAAAACGATGAACCTTTTGGGTGACCAATGTTCTGCATCGTCGACACCGCGTCTCACCGTCCAGATGACCACCGGTGTTTCATAGGATTCGGTCCTCCAAGGCTCGACGTCCCACCCCGGCCATCCGGTCACACCTCCAAGAAACGTCCCTCCAGCAGCACAGCGACGATCTCCCCCCCGCTGCGGTTCATCTCCCCGAGTCTCGCCTCACCATGTCGTGCATCGACACCCAAAAAACACTCTGACGAACAACACAACGCATGGAAAGCGGATGGTTCCTGTGTTCGACCCTCCGGCCGAAAACCGAAACAGGTTCGTTTTGTCCGTGGTCCATTTCCCATGTGTTTGGATCCCCGACCGCCATTTGCTGGGGGCTACTGGAGATTCAGCCAAAACCAAACTCTTCTTTTTGTGTCGACAAATGCACCTGCCCGTTTCAGCGACCAACCGTTTCAGGGCCGGTCTTTTGACCCTCGCCGTGGGAAGAAATGTCGTCGCCAGTGCTCTTCGGCGCTGCAAAGGGCAGAAGAAAACAGCAAGTAAGCAGAAATGCCAGCGCTGCAGCATCCATATGTTGAGCACCATCGGGTGTTTCAGTTTCGCCACTGCAATCAAATCTTCAGCGCCACCATTTTGTGAGTAAGATTGAGTAATCGTATACGATCGCTTTCACAATTTCGTTTAGTTTGAAGTTTTGGGCAACCTTTTTCTTCACCCTTGAACCCATCTTTTTCATCCCGCCCTTTTTTCCACCCTCTTTTCACCCTCTGAACCTTCTTTTTTCACCCTCTGAACCCTTTTTTGTTCACCATCCTTCCTTTGCTTGGTGTGTGGTTGGCTAGCTTGACGTAGCGCAAGCCAAATATCGACAGCCTTTGGGGAAAACACGGGGTTGTGTGGTTTTGGTTGCTTGGTTTGTTGGTTGCTTGGAGGGTTACCCATGCAAAGCCAGTATCGACAGTCTTTGGGGACAACACAATTTGGTTGCTTGGTTTGCTGGTTGCTTGGTGGACCCTCCTTCCTTTGGTAGGCGTTGGTTGGTTCGGCCTGCTTGGTTTGTCGTTGCTTGGATTTGGAGAAAGCACATACACTGATGGATGGATCATGGACAGGGAGAAAAATGTTCCTTTTTGGTGTGTTGGTTGGTTGGTTGGTTGGCTTGCTTGCCGTTGATTGCTTGCGTGATACAGTGCTTGATGGATACGCAATGTTTCTGTTTTGTGTTTGGATGGATGGATGGATGGATGGATGGATGGATGGATGCGGTGTAAATAAAGGCGGGAGGGGGTGCGGGGCAGGGCGCAGCGCCTCCCCTGCAACGCAAACCCAGTATCGACAGCATTTGGGGAAAACACAAGGTTGTGTGTTTTTGGTTGCTTGGTTTGTTGGTTGCTTGGTGGGTTTGTTGGCGGCCAAGTTGCTTGGTTGGTTGGTCGGTTGGTTGGCGCTCCGTTGATGGATGGATGGATGGATGGATGGATGGATGGATGGATGGACGCTGTGCTGTCTCATGTTCCGGAGGCGTCTGGGTCAGTTTCCGGCGGTTCCCGTGAAAAAGAAAGGGTGAAGGGTCAAAAACAAGGTGAAGGGTGAAATAAACCTGCTACAGGGTGAAAATGACAGGGCGCAGGGTGAAATACAAGGTTTTTAGAAGGGTGAAAAAGGGTTCCAAAAGGTTGTGACAAAAGGAATCTTGAGGGTGAAAAAATCGGTTTCGAATTTGGAAAAGAAGGGATTGTAAAAAAACTGTGTTCAAGGGTGAAAGCGCATGATCTTTCTTTGCGAATCCAACCGAACGGCCTGTCACGAGAAACAGAGCGTCGCACGGCGGCCGGGCACAGGCCGGCGACTGTTTGAACAACCAGCGGCTTTCAGCATGTTAGTCTTCCAGCTGTACCGTGCGTCTGGAGCACAACTCGTGCTATCCGAGACAGCCAGCCCCGACTCTTCGAGCAACTTCCAATTCCCCTACAGCACACATTGGCGTAGGATTGCGGTTGGGCACGCATAGTCTCTACCATGTTTGGCCACCGCCTTCTTGGTTTTCCTGAATGGCTCTGTGCATATATATATACATATACCCAGACTGGTTTACTTAATTATACAAGCATAGACCCCAAACAGTTTCAAAACGATTCGTTTTGATCAAAAATCGGTTTCTTGGTATGCCCTACTTTCACCCCAAGAGCAAACTGCTTCATCAATGAATTTTTGTCGGCGTTGACATCGCTATTTGTTCGGCCACACTCCTCGCCAGTAAGCCGGGCCACAGAGACCAGCCACAGAGATCAGGGGCGCGGCCAAGACAAGGACAAGAGGAGGACAAAACCCAAGAGCCCAGCCAGGACAAGAGCCCAGTAAGCCGTCCATAAGACACGAGCGCGCTCTTTCTTTCTTTCTTTCTTTCTTTCTTTCTTCCGTTCTTTCTTTCCTT